ACTAATCCGCAACCAAGCGTCCCCAAATAGATGCCATGAGGCACGCTGGCTAATACGTTACACTAGACCACACCACGACATACGTCTTTTAAAGTTGCGAGTGCGATTTAAATTCATCCCCAGGTATCTTCCCTCCCCAGGCGCAGCGCCAGCCGGGTCAAGCTCCGACCTCCCAACTGGTCCCCGACACGTACGAAGGCAGCGCAGTGCATACAAGTGTGAGTGAGCGAGCTGAACGAAAGGGACGCGGAGGGAGGAGAGACGGCGCACGGCGCGCGGCGCGTGTGATGAGGTTCCGCTGCGCCACTCGCCCTCGTGTTGTCCGTGCGCGGGGCCGGTGGCAGGGGCGGGGCCCTGGCGCAGAAGTCGGTCACTTGACCGCGCCCGAATGATGGAGGGGTCGGCGCCGCCAGGTGCCTCGCTTTATGACGCCTCTTCGCCGCCGACGATTTACGCTCAGCGCGGCGAGGAAGGGGCGGGGAGGGGAAGTGAGGGACGGGGCGGAACGAGGCGTTCAGCACGCCGGCACCCCCCCCCCTCTCGACGCCTCAAAGAATCTGAAAGTCTCAACGTCAGCGCAGTTGGAACGAACGTGTTTGTGCGAAGGCAGGGAAACGCAGTCGACTCCGAATGTAGTGAAGTCGGATGTAGTGAACCCTCGGTTACAGAGAACTTAAGTCACCGGTCCCGATTCACTTACATAACAAACATGCATTAGACGATTCGGATATAGTGAACCTGAACCTCGGCTATAATGAACGTAGGAAATAAGTTCAGGGAATTAATTAGATCTCGTATGTCAATAATCGATTGCAAGAGCTTTCGGAGAGTGGTATTTTATTCCAAGAGTGCATTGAAAGGTGCCAAGACTGCATTACGATAATTAAGAGTCAGAAGACAATGCAGAGTCTAGTATGGAGAGATCACGAACTCGGCCGAAGGATCTAATGAACAATGCACGAAACAAACAATTGAAAGTATTTGTTTGTTTACGTAAAATAAAGATGCCGAAATGTTCAGTTTGTGCTGTCAGTGAATTTTGCCGTGTATTAATACAATCAATTATTGTGAAGGAATTCCATTTACTTTTTAGGTCATCAGATACACGGAAGCGCCCAGACGTTCACTACAACCGGAGTCAACTGCACAGTGCGCCGCAAAAAACTCTCCGCAATGTGGCCATGCCGGCGAGGCAACCAGCAACTGAAACATTACATTGATGTCAAGAGATCCAAACAGCGGTGGGATGCTTTGCGTTCTATGTTAGATTAAATCGACTCCGATTCAGTAAATGGAGGGTAGTATTATAATACACGTTCTCGGCCCTACAGCAAAATAAGCACCTGTTAGGACCGTCTTCAAACAGGAATTTGATTGCTGCTATCAAGTATTTTCCTTAGTGGTCCGCTTCCTCTCTCGATTAGCGAAACAAAGGCCGAAAGGAGGCACAAAATCGTCGCTAACGCCGCCAAGTTGGATAATTTGTGTAGGGAATCAGGCCACTAAAAAAGAATGCGGTTTATCTTACGGTCTCGCATTGGCACACTCCAGCCCTCGGGTCTCCCCAACGTTGCAAAGTAGATTTTTGTGATGCTGCCACGATTGAAACATTATGTGGGCATTGTATAAGATAAAAAGAACTTGGAATGTCATCCGTCCAGGAGTACATTGCAAGGAGGTGGGTTACCTACAACAAATATTGGCAAGCGATGTCAATTTGTGATAGAATATTTGTAAATTAAAATTTATTATAAACAAAGTGTCACCCGGATGGCCGATATCGTTACGGCAGTAGTGCCTTACTGATCTCGGACTGAAGGATCGTGGGATCGAATCCCGCCTCGGGCATGTTGTATTTGTGTTCATCCTTTCACCCCCTATCATCACCATATCAAGTCGTCTTCACAGTTACCGTAACGTTCAATCCAATAGTTGTGGCTAATGAACTAGATGTTAATGCGTTGTATAGTCTACAACGTCTAGCAAATGCTACCAGGCCTCTCTGGATTACTATCACTCCTCTTTGAGGTGATGATGAGCACCTCCGAACGCCGCACAGACCGATCTCTGTCCTGTACCTTTGCATATTGGCTCATAATATTCCCAGGCAGAAAATGCGCAACTTTTAGCTTAATTTCACTGAAAAGGTTTGGGTTTTCGAGAAACTTCTATGACGTTTCTATCATAAGATGGCTGGCTTTCAATGACACAAGGCAACAAAAAACTTATTGTTATCGGTGCCTGCAATTTTAGAGCTAACCATATGTATTTCGAAGCTGCTGATTCCCAAAAATGCTAATTGCTTGGCTGCATAAGCTCTCGTTTTGAAGGTACAGTAAAAAAAGATTTTCGTCACTTTCAAAATCACAGTTCATTTTGAATCAATATGTATATCTATTTCATTATGATATCAGTATAAACCGACAAATTTGAATCATCCGCGCCTTTTCAGTA